ACAACATATTGGTGAAATTGAGAGCGAAGTATCTGATTGAGAGCGAGATTGCGCGATGCGCTGCAGCTGGACTACTGCTGAGAGGTGGAGCTTGCTGTGTAGCTTGAATCAAAGGGCCAGCCCGTAGCTACAAGCAGATACCCTGGTCATCCTGTGAGAGTCTCTCGAGGTGGAGTTACAGCGGCGAGCAGAAGCTACAGCAGAGCCCACGGCCCGAGGCCACACCGCCCTGCAACAGTTTGAGGCAGGAATAGCCAATCTGGGGAAATCTACACACGTAGCCATTTGGCTACCCTGGCAGGGTGGCCAAAAAACCACTCTGCTAGGGTACCCACCTTGTGAACGGCAGAAGGGTGCACCGCCGGCAGGGTCTTTTATAGACAACCTGGACAGGGTCCACCCTGCCAGGGTGGCCCGAATTGCACGCTGTAAGCAAACTGCGGCAGCAATTTTGTGTGGTGTGCTGTTTTGCACTCTGTTTTTTCGTGGTTGTCGATGGCTTGCGAGTATACGCCTCCGGGTTAATCGCGAACGATCCCGGTTTTCATGCCATGTCGTCGCTCAATCGTACAGCACCAACGCCGACACGACTATCACGCGCATCCTCTGCACAGATCGACTCGGCATCCTGTCAACAGTCATTTCTGCGTCAGGGTCGAATCCACACGTGAAGCAGAATGTTAAGAATGTTAAGAGTGTGCCCGATGCTCGTCACAGAACCCAAAAAACATCACGCAAATGCAATGGTGGGGCTCACAACCCCAACTTGATTGCCACGCTTTCAACGGAATGTGAATGTGCACGACACGTCCATGACGTGCACCAAGCAAATCAGGACGCATGGTGAGCCACACGCTCGACGAAGATCCAAGAAAACACGGGAAGAAAACAAATAGTTCCAACCATAAAAAAATTGCACTCCATGCCCCTAGCTCCACGCAACCAGTCTGGCGTGTACACGCTCCTGCCGACACTTTTTTGTGCGTCCAGACTAAAAACTCCATGAGTTCAATCAAGCTCGACCGAACCTACTTGACCCCTTGTCCGCGAAGCACCTCAATACTTGAGGTGTCCCTACCCCCGGCGACACGGAGGAACATTTCTGCGTTGTGTGTACCACGTCCAGGGTACGCCGGCGCGTATCGATCTCCACGCGCTTCACGCGTTGCTCGAAAAGGAACAGTGACGAAATAAACTTATTGCCGAACGCGACAAAAAACCTGCTCCCCACCTAACACCACAGCAAGCGCTACGCCCGAGAACATTTGCCAGCAATTCCGCGACCCATGCAGATGCTGAGCTTGTGAAGGACCAATCAACAACAACGATCAGTTCATCTCAACGAGATATGCGCCGAGATCGGAGTCCTACAAGTGGACGTCTTCGGCCGGGGTCTCCTCCACGACCAGGTTGTCGTTGCCGCCGACGTATGGGGACAGGAAGCGCATGATCTTGGGGTTCCCGAAGTCCGACTTGGGGATGATCAGGATTCCGGAAGCGTGGCGACGGGGGCCCGCCATGAACTGGAGGATGGAGTATCAGATCTGGTCCGAAAATCACGTGGGGAAAGGGAAGGCATAGGTACGCAACATGAGATAAAGTTGATGTATGGCTCAAGGAGCGACGAAAACTCGTTTCGGCAAATGGAGTGACAGGCACAAGCGCATGACGAGCATAACAACACAAGAATGCCTTGTATTCCCTGACGACAACAGCACAAGAGTAGGAGGTGGGGGGATAATAAAACAAAAGAGAAAACTACCCCCGGAGTGAATCTATCGGGGATTTCCGAAACTTGCAGAAATACAGCATTTGCACCAAACAATACTTCGGAACACGACAAACACGTGACGAAAAAACAGGGCTTGGAGAAGCTTGCTAGCTGACGATATCGAAAGTTCACAAACGTCGGTCAAGATGACAGGGCAGTCGGTATTCAAGACTTTTGGCAACACTGTCGTGAAGTTTCCTGCGTTTACCAAGGGGTAGGAGGGTGAGGGTGGAGGTGGGGGTGAAGAGGCCAAACAACGGTGCCCAGGAACAGCAGGGGGGGGGGGCACTCACAGCATGCTTCATGTCACGCACATGTTACCCGCTCCTTCAAACCAAACCAGCAGGACCGCTGACTCTCGACGTGCACAAAGTTGTTGACGGCTCCCGCCTACATATTGCGAGAAAATCAAGAACTACCGTGCGACTCTCAATGGAGAATCCCACACCCCGATTTGGCAACGTCGGCAAGAAAAAAAAAAGACGGGTACGCGGTTCTTGGCTTCATGCTCAACTAGAAGAAGCTCATTTCACCACAAGTCAGAATTGGAGAAAATCCGCCCAGCAATTAGCTGACGGAGACATACACAACCCAACATCAGTTGGGGTTGAAGAAAGGTCCGTTCGACAAAACTCACCCTTCCTGGAATGCCTTCGCGTTTGTGAAGCTGTACCCGCCGTTGGAAAGCCTCCCCCACGCCCTCGCTTTCCTCGTGCACTTGCACACGACGCTCTCGAGTGAGCTGATCTCCGCCACCGGGAGGGCAGCGATGTCGTTCGCCGCGCGCAGCAGCGCCGGCGTGGCCACCTGGTGTGTAACATGACGCGAGCAGGCAGGGGGGTATCGGTCGTCTGCGCAACATCGTAGTCATTTTTGCGGCGTGGTGACAGACGGAGTCAAGTTGTGCTGCCGAACGGTGCGGTGCTACTGACGAGTGCATGCATCTGGAAACATGTAACCTTGCAGTGCGTGTACCCTGCTGCTGCTTCCTACGGATACTACCTGCGATACAATCGGAGCTTTCGCACATGGTCGTACATGCTGAGGAGTTCAGTTAGATGTTCATGTCTCTACATTGACCTGCTGCCCGCTGGAACTTTCTCTTACAACGTGAGTGGGGTGGCATACCGTAGTTCGGATGCCCCGGCACAAGCGCCGAAGTTTGAGACGGAGGACAGACTTGAACAATGAGTCACCTGCGCGAGGAAGTCCTCGTGAAGCCGGTCCTCGCCGACCAGTTGCCCCTCGGACAGATCCTCGCGTATCGACTGCATGTGGGCCTTGGTGTAGCGCCACATGACGCGGTGAAGCAANCGGATGCCCCGGCACAAGCGCCGAAGTTTGAGACGGAGGACAGACTTGAACAATGAGTCACCTGCGCGAGGAAGTCCTCGTGAAGCCGGTCCTCGCCGACCAGTTGCCCCTCGGACAGGTCCTCGCGTGTCGACTGCATGTGGGCCTTGGTGTAGCGCCACATGACGCGGTGAAGCAAGGTATTAATTGCCTGCAACATTGGAGCAGAACCGGGCGAAGAGGTTCCAATAAATCACACGAAAGTATCTGATCGTAGTGGTTAATGGGAACGTTGTGCAATCGATAAGGTGAGTTGTAGACAAGAATTCGCGTACGTTAGTCTTTTAAAACATTGTCACATGGTCTTTCCTTACGATGTGAGAGTGGCACGAAAAATGTGGGCGCAAGCATGTGGTGACTAGGCCCGCACGATTCTACGAAGTGGCATATCTACGTTGGAGTTCCACGTACATGTTATGATTGTCAGGCATGTTTACCTCGGCAGCGGGGTCGATGTCCGCGACCTGCTCGCGGACCCCACGCNGCAAGCATGTGGTGACTAGGCCCGCACGATTCTACGAAGTGGCATATCTACGTTGGAGTTCCACGTACATGTTATGATTGTCAGGCATGTTTACCTCGGCAGCGGGGTCGATGTCCGCGACCTGCTCGCGGACCCCACGCAAGAGGTCGGCGGCGGTCCGCGGGTTGTTCGCGGCCGCCTCTTCTTCGATGATAGGGATCAACAAGTCCACGAGGGCGCCGCGCACATCACCGTGCAGCTCTGAGCGGGCTGCAACGACGGCCTTGATGATGACTGCTGTGGTCACGGAGGGAGGGCGGCAGAAAGCAGCACTGCTGTGAGGATATTCCTCGCCCACAACACTCTCGGACCCCGGGCTAGAATAGCACCGGGCGAGCGGTTACTTGAACGCCGGAGTGGCCCCGGGACACGTATGGAGCTGCCGCGCGGAGCTTTTTGCGGCAGTTGGTGTATCACTTCTGATCGGTACAGCGCAACTACGTGAAACTCAGTACTGCTCCAACACCCTATCGACGAACCGGGGGGCGACGGGTAGGTGGTGACATAAACCCTAATGCAGAAGAACACCTTGCAACAGCAATAGAACAGAGTCGGCATCCCCGTCCATGAGTCCTGCCGTCAAAGTACGGAGAGGGTGGCGGCACGTAGGGATAGGGTGTGCACGGAGGTTGCTACCAAGATTAGTCGAACAGAATTGACATGTCTCGGGCATTACTGTCTCTGTGTACGAGTTTGTCACGTGTTGCACCTCAGATAGAAATGTGTTTGTTTAACAAAAGACCGACGACCAATTTAGGGTGCTCCAAAAAAAGGTGACATATCGGACGATTTGCAATGCGGAGTTCATCGAGAACGGATATAGAGGGCGGTTGCAGCGGCAACGAGCTCAAATCGCGCCATTTTGTCGAAAGGCTCTCATCGTACACCATTCATCAGTGTGCTTCCGTAAACCGCGGAGGGTACAACCGGGGAACGTCCAGACTATGCAAGTATGAGTCGGATACACGGAACAACCGCTTCCATTCATGACGCATCTGCTCTGTTTTTTTGTGTCCCGTACGTATCTGTTGCGGGGGTCTTATTCCGGCTCTTCTCGTCAAACGTTGTGTTGGGAGTAGCTACAATGTCTGGTCCACATACACATGTTCCACACACCCACAACCGGCACAACGAATACTCAAAGGCAAAATTGGGGCCAACACAAACGTTCGTGCGTTGCAACCGAAATCATAGTTAATTATTTTTGTTTGGGGAACGCATTACTGTTTGTCTTTGTCTTTAGAGTATTGCTATAGGGGGGGAGAAGAACTCGCGTCGCGGTCAGAACGGAGTCTGAGGAATTTTGACTACCGAATGAAGTACACATTGGGGACAAATGCAACGTCCGCGCGCCTGTGCACAACATCGAATTTAAACCGGTGGATGTAGACCACACGACAAACGAGGTGCTCAAAACCTTACATCGGTGATCACGACTTTCGGGCACGGCGATTCTCAGAATATCATGTGCGCCAACACGACGGCGCACTGCTCAAACCTGCAATTGCTGCGGCAGGAAATTAACTTGCTGCAGCTATGCATCGGATACATGTTTCGATCCTACTTTTATCTCTGTATTAGAATAGCATATGCATTCTAGACTCATGGAAGAGATGAACAAGTTTTTTTTTCTAGCATGCTGCACGCAAGGGTAGAAACACAACTCGCGTGGTCAAGTAAGCAAGCACAGGCGAACTCTCAACCTACCATCGGTGGGTTTTTAGACCGCAGAACCTTCCTCCTCTTCGAGACCGACTTGCGTCGGCCCGCGCCCTTGGTCTTGGCCACCGGCTCCTTGCTGGGTGTACGGGATGCCGCAGCCTTGGCCATCCTCCCTCTGGGTTGATGGTTGTTGACATTGACGGCGCTGAGAGGTGACGCAGAGGTCGTTCGGGGAATAGCGCGGTGAGACATCGCAGTAGGAGTATAAGTTGGCGCACGAAGGTGAGGGACGGAAGGGGAGGGCGAAGAAGGTTGTGGCAAGTGTGGGCTGCTGTGTTGTTTTCTTTGTTTGTTTTCTCCCATCATTGGATTCTGTCGTCTGCCCCTCTCGCCCCTATCCTCCACTTCTACCAGCTAGACGACCCAACCGGGG